AATATGGCACCTAAACTAATTTAAAAAAAAATACTGGGAAATATAAATTTAAAAAACAATTTGCTAAATCGATTTACTGGTTTATCAATCTACTCCACTGGTAAAGGCAAAAGGAAAAGAGGTACTTTAACACATTATTGGTGAGAATATAGGTTGGAACAACTCTTTGTAGTACAATTTGGCATTATCTAGCGACATTTTAAATGCACATAGCCTTTGAACTAGGAATTCTATTAGCATGAATTTATCTTACAACACCTAGAGAACAGCATGTATTCCCAAAGAAGTTTACATAAGGGTGTTCACAGCAACGTTATTTGTAACAGAAAAAGTTGAGAAACAACCTAGTTAATCATCACTAAAAGACTGGTTAAATAAAGTATGGTACATATGTAAATACATACATGCTTTAATTCATAACACTTGGGATTTTCATTGAGAGAAAATATTGTAATAATTCTGGAACTATACAGAATGTGAAGATTAACTTTCATCTATAATTTTCATTCATTCAACAAATATCTGAGTGCCTACACCACATGTCTGTGCTCAGTAATGCAGACATAATGTCATATAATCCGTTTCCTCAAGGAAAAAAGGTGATATAGCCTCTTTATTCAAGGAGCATATAGTCTGGTAGAAACTAGAGATGAGTAAACGTACTATTATCACACTAGGGGCCCGGTGCATGAAATTCGTGCACTGGGTGGGGGGTGGGGGGAGTGTCCCTCAGCCCAGCCTGCCCCCTCTCACATACTGGGAGCCCTCAGGCGTTGACCCCCATCACCCTCCAATCGCAGGATCGGCCCCTTGCCCAGGCCCGACGCCTCTGACAGAGGCGTCAGGCCTGGGCAGGGGACCCTCATTTCCCCCCATCACTGGTTCTGCCCCCAGCCCAGGCCTGATGCCTCTGGCCCAGGCGTCAGGCCTGGGCAGGGAACCCCCAGACCCCTCCGATTGCTGGTTCTGCCCCTTGCCCAGGCCTGATGCCTCGGCCAGAGGCGTAGACTCCCATCACCCTCCAATCACCTGATCGGCCCCTTGCCCAGGCCTGACGGCTCCGACAGGTGACCCCCATCTCCCCCCAATCACTGGCTCTGACCCCCGCCCAGGCCTGAGGCCTCTGGCCCAGGAATCATGCCTGGGCAGGGGACCCCCATCTCCCTCTGATCGCTTGCTCCACCCCCCGCCCAAGCCTGACGCCTCTGACCCAGGCTTCAGGCCTGGGCAAGGGGACCATCATATCCCTCCAATCCCCGGCTCCGCCCCCCCACCCAGGCATCAGGCATCAGGCCTGGGCAGGGGACCCCCAGCCCCCCACCCAGGACTGATGCCTCGGCCAGGGAGTTGACCCTCATCACCCTCGGATCACCAATCACCGGATTGGCCCCTTGACCAGGCCTGAGGCCTCCGGCAGAGGTGTCAGGCCTGGGCAGGGGACTCCCAGCTCCCCGCAATCTCCCTCTCTGCCCCTGCCCAGGCCTAACACCTCTGGCCGAAGCATTAGGCCTGGGCAGAGGACCCCCAGCTCCCTGCGGTTGCAGGCTCCGCCCCTGCCCAGGCCTAACGCCTCTGGCCTAGGCGTCCAGCTCGGGCAGCGGGGACCCGCAGCTGCAGCGGCCCCGCGATCGTGGGCTCCGCTTTAGGCCCAGGGAAGGGACCCCTAGTTCCCGGGACTGCCAGCTTCGACCGTGCCCAGCTCCCATCGCTGGCTCCACCCCTACTTCCTGCTATCACTGGCCAGGGCGGAAAAGGCACCTGATTCTCCGATCATGGCTGGGGGGCAGGGCAAAGGCGGCCCCAGGGCCGCCTTTGCCCTGCCCCCCAGCTCTTAGCTCCCCCCTGGGTTTCCAATCACTGTCAGTGGCAGGGGGCTTCTTCCTGCTTTCCCTTTCGCCTCCCTGCATTGTGCCTACATATGCAAATTAGCCGCCATCTTAGTTGGCAGTTAATTTGCATATAGCCCTGATTAGCCAATGAAAAGGGTAGCACCGTACGCCAATTACCATTTTTCTCTTTTATTAGTGTAGATATATGGCATGATATCTATCCTGAGGTAAGAACAGAATATTATGGGAACACATGAGTAAAGCAACTTAAAATTAATAATCACCATGCCAACAAACAAAAACTCAGCAGCTTAAAAGTGAAATTATCAACTCCTCCTTTAGAGCTGAAATGATGATGAGGCCATCAGTCTGAGCAGACCTTGGCTTCAGTACAGCTGGGTCTGACCACCTTGCAGGCCTATGTCCACAAAGGTCACATCCCCCCATTTCAACACTGCTGATGAATGAGGGTTCAGCCCTTAGAGAGTTCTGAATCCCTGGTGCTATCACCCTCAGGGGGACCTTTTCTAGGGTCTATATTTAGAATCAGGAACAAAAAGTCTCAAAGAATGTGCTATAAGAATAGTGTATCTAAAACATTTACTTCTACTTCATCAGAGTTTCTAAAGAATCAAGAAATATATCCATTTGGTTGGTACTTGAAACCTGGGCTAGCAAAGTACCTTTAAAATATGACATTTAAATTGGAGCCTTACATCAGTAGGGTTTCAAATTAATTGCTTTTAGGTACAGTGGGGCCTTGACTTACGAGTTTAATTCGTTCTGTGGCGGAGCTCGTAACTCAAATTACTCGTATGTCAAATCAAAAAGTTAACGAGTGAGACACGTGATGCTGGGCTGATGTTGTGGCGTTCATTGTGATGTTCGCTGCGCCAACTAGCGGTGGGGTATCTGAAGCTGGCTCGTAACCCGAATTTTAGCTCGCAACTCAAAGCAAAAAATCTGCCGAGAGACGGCTTGTATCTCGAAAAACTCGTTAGTTGGGACACTCGTAAGTCAAGGCCCCAATGTATATTATTAAATACACTAAAACAGAGCTAATTATTAGACAATAGAAAAATGCCCCTTTTTAGAAAGGTTTTATATAATACAGCAAATCTTCCAAGTTTACAGAGATATAGATAGTATGAAATAGCATATTTTCTAAATACTATTCCACATAGTTAGATATTTACCAAAGATTCTATATATATTCATTACATCATTTAAAAAAGGATGAGGGAGCTTGTTGGTTACTAAAAAGCACTATAAATTTGGCACTGTGCTTCCCAGGAGCCTATCTGAAACATAATTTATCTTATCCATACATACCACTTGTTCCTAGTCAGAAAATTAAAAATAGCTTAACAAAAGAAATTGTTCGGAATCTCTAAATTCATCAGTTCTATTCCTTGCTGTCACTTGTTAGATATAAATGGAAGATGGGGACTGAATAGGGCACGATCTCTCTTTCTTTAGAGGCATCTTATACTTAAGATTTAATGTATATATATCACCCAAAATCTTAAAGACATGGTTTTTCATCTCCAAGATATAATAACCCTATACTTAAAGCAATATTAAATCCTATATAAACTTCCATTCAATTAACAACTTTGGACAGTCTCTGAAACTGATTTAATAAGCACCAACATTCTTTCCTTTGCATTTACATTCATAGCCTCAAAGTCCTGTCAATTCTTCTTTCATAAAAACTCTTTGTACCCTAACTATAAAAATACAGATTCACAACCAATTAAAAAATTTTCACTTAACTAAGTAATGAACTAGATTAGCCTCTACTCAACTGTCTCAGAACTATCGCAAAAGCTTTCTCAATAGTTCCCCTGTTTTTCTTTCCAACCTATCTTAGAATATGGTCACCAATTCCTTTTCTAACACTACCATCCAGGCCTCAATTCAATAATCTTCAGTGGCTTCCTAATACCTAAAGCAGTAAATCAGGAAGAGTAAAAAGCTACTAGTCAATAAGTTCATAATTTGTCCGATAAGATGAACTCTAAATCTCTAATAAACTTGATATTTTTACCTTCTGAAATAATTTCCCAAGGTGTTCTTAAAAAGAATTTAATTATTAATGTACAACCAGGTACTCGTGGATGAAAAGATTTGAAAACTATTTTACAGACTACGCAGATTTGTCTCTGTAGACCTAAAACATAACTTCCAAGAAATAGTATATCTAACCAATACATGAAAACCTCTCAAAATATTTCATTAAGTCTCATGGTAAATCGACCACAAGTTTAATTGGCCTAGTCCCGGATGGGAAGCCACAGGTTTCCCTTCTTTAAGACCATCAATCATGCTGCCTTTGTGTTGACGATTCCCTGATGATGCAGTAAGAGGCTAAACCTGTCCACACTGACAGCAATTCCTCTTCCTCTGCAGCTGAGACGCGAGCAGAGCTGCGCCCCCAGGAACGCAATGCCCGCAGCCCCTTTCCGGGCTGGGTTTAGCCGGTGCGGAGCTGCCACATCAATACACGGGGAACTGGGCGGTGGCAGGACTTGGCCACAACTCTCCCACCCGGGTCTGCACGCGCACACCACTGGGGGCGCCCTCCCTCACTGCAGCGGGGTCAATGTGGACGCTTTCCAAGGGGTCATCTCCCCACCCGCGCAGGAGGAGGGGAGGGGAGACGAAACGCATGGGGCCACCCAGGCCAGGGAGGGGATAGGAGGGGGCCCGGGCTGAACGCAGGCCAGCGGACTGACAGCCAAACTGCGCCTTTCCCCCAGGAGCAGCCCAGACGGGGAGACAAAAGATGAAGGCGCCAAGGCCTTTCCGTCCGCACCCCAGAACGAGGGCAGCCCAAGAACCCACAGCCCTAGTTCCTCGATACACACCCAGCTTCTAGGGGCGGGTGGGTGCCTAACTTCAGGGACGCCGGGGCATGGGGACCAGCGGGAAGAACCGGGAGCGGGCGGGTGCACGTGTTACCCGACGCCCGGACAGACAATGAAGCGCCAGCCCCGGCTACCTCCGCCGCCCCACCCAGCTCCCGGCGGCTCCCACGGGGGTGGGGGCGCCTTCCCCCCCCCCAGGTCCGCAGACAAAGCCCCTCGGGGCGGAGGGGGGGGCCCGCGGGAGCAGCTGGGGCTGCACACAAAAGAGGGAGGGGCGCGGGGCGGGCGGGCGAGCACTCACCCACGGAGCCAGAGGAGCTCCTGCGCTTGGGCGCGGCCGGCGTGGAGGGGGGCGCAGCGGGGGCCGGGGCGGTCGGCGTCCACGCGGGCTCGGCTTGGGGGCTCACGCTGGCCGGGGGAGGTGGGGGCGGCCGGGCCGGAGGCTCGTCGTCCTCGGGGAGCTTGGAGGGCGAGGCTGCGGCAGCGGACGGCAGGGATGGCGCGGTGGACGCGGGACTCGGGTCCCAGGGCTGATGCCTCTCCGGGGCGACAGGGGGCGCGGCCGGCAAGGGCCCCCGGGGCGCGGGGGGCACGAAGTCATTGTCGAAGTCCAGCAGGGGCGCGGTGGGGGCGGAGGCGGTGGGCACTGGGGCCGCCGACAGCCCGGCGGCGGGCTTCCTCTCCAGCACCTCCAGCTCCTCCAAGTCCTCGTCCTCGTCCTCCTCGTCCTCCTCCTCCTCGTCCTCTTCCTCCTCGTCCTCGGGCTCCCTCACGAACTGGTACTTGAACGTGGGCTGAGGCCGGGGCGGGTGGTCTGAGGACGAGGAGACCCGAGACGACTGGTCCGCGTCTTCCATGGCTGGCGCGTCGGAGAGGATGCTGCAGCTGCGGCCGCCGCCGGACGCTTCTCCTCCGCGGCGCGGGCTGTGGTGGGGGCTGGGGAGCTCCGAAAGGGGCAGAGCCGAACGAGCTGAGGGACCGGCAGAGGCGACGGCTCCCGGAACAATGAGGCTGCCCCTCCTGCCTCCGCACCCGTGATGCGCCACCCGCCCCGTCCCCAGTTGCCGCCGCCGCCGCCCAGACCCGCGTAGGAGAGAGGCCAGCAGACTCTCCGCCCAGTTTGGCTCGATTCCTCCTCCCCTGCGGGCGGGGGCTGGCGCGGGAGGGAGGAAGCCAATCGGCTGCAGGATAGTGATAAAGGACAACCGGCCGGCCCAACGGAAAGGAGGAGAGGCGAAAGTGGGTGTGGCTTACTGCGCTTCCTCTCTCCTACCGGCTGGGTTGGGTTCGGTGGGCGGGGTTTGAAACTGGCAACCCCGCCCTCCCCCGTGGGTAGTTTAGCAGAGGGGATGGGAGGGAGAGGCGATGGGAGGGAGAGGGGATGGGAGGGAGAGGGGATGGGAGGGAGGTGGGGGCGTGGAGGTGGGTGGGGGGATGGTCTGGCCGAGCCCACAGCTGCAGGTCCGCTGCAGTTAGAGGGCTGCGAAAGCGAGCCAGCTGCCGACCCTGGGGGTGGAAGAGACTCCTGGCTCGCCACCGGAAGGGCGTTATCCTGGGTGGAAACTTTCCTCCCAGGAAAGGGAAAAAACCCAGAGTGCACAAAGGTACTAACAAACGGGACTGTGGAGTCGGCCCTAAGGATTGAAATACACATTGCATTTTCAAAGATTTTTGAAATAAAGGATTCCATTGTTGTAAACTTAAATTCCCAGGCCACGTTATTACTACTACCATCACCACCTAAAAAGAAAAAGAACATTTTTGACAAGGGTAAGATCACTCCTGGTCTAAATTGCTGACCCTGGATGAGGTAGGCAAAACAGAGCTGGGCTGGACCATCTGGGGCTGGGGCGGACCGTGAGAAAGTCCACTCATCTCCTTCCAGGAGACTTGAGGTCTCCCGGATGCTGGACTCTCACATGGTAGGAGGATGAGTCAGTCACCCAAAGAGAGAGGGAGGGAAGAGAGAAGAGTGGCAACAGAACGAAGCCTTGGAAGGCAAATTTGATTCACATTACATTTCAGTCACCTTAGGCTCATGAGTCAACATTTCAGATGATTCAGGCTTTCTGGGAGCCAGTAATCCCAGCACTCATTTCTTAGATATGCCAGAATGAGCGTGATTCCCAGTCCACTTTTTCCAAAGCTGGAGAGAGTTTAAGGAAAATGGCTACAGACCATTAAGTATCAGCATCCAGAGGGTTAGAGAACCCTTTTATCCTTTTGATATGCCTTCCAAAAGTCTTTGCTGCATGCCTAACCTGGAGGCCCTGGACAGAGAGGGAAAACCTGTTTACAAGTTGCTGGCAGGACAGGCCAGCACCGTCCAATACTTTAATCACTGGCTACTTGTTGTGGCTGTTGAGCACGGGAAACATGACTAGCCTGAAATGGAGTGTGTTGTAAGTTTAAAATGCACATTACATTTTGAGTTAGTACCTCCCCCAAAATTTAACTATCTCAATTTTTATTAGTCACATATTGGAATTGATAATATTTTAGATTCATTGGGATGAGTATTATTCATTTCTTTTATTTTTACTTTTTTTTAATGCAGCTTTTAGAACATTTTAAGTACATATATGACTCACATTATATTTCTACTGGACGGTGCTAGTCTAATTTAATGATTAAGAAACTTTGATTGTCATGGGGAGTCACTAGTTATTTAAGCAAATTCTTACCTCCAACTAATTAATATTATCCTACACTTAGAGTATTAAAAAGGAAAGATAGGGATTGTAGGGGAGGGAGAAGGGATGAATAGGTGGAACACAGGGGATTTTTAGGTCAGTAAAACTATTCTATATGATACTGTGATGAAGGATACATGACATTATGTACTTGGCAAAACTCATAGACCTGTATAACACAAAGAGTGAACCTGTGGGCTTCAGCAAATAATACTTCAATTTGGTTCATAGATTGTAACAAATATACTACACCAATGTAAGATGTTAGCAGTAGGGGAAACTGTGGTTGGGGGATTGGCATGGGAGTGTATGAGAACTCTGTTCTGTTTAATTTTTCTGTAAAGGTATAACTACTCTAAGAAAAAAAAGTTTGGTTTTTTTTTAAAGGGAAGGTATAACAAAATTTCCTGGAAATGTAACCTGATCAAGTTAATTATCAGCAATACATTCACAATCTGGCATATCAGTCTCACAAAGATGAACTTGCTTTATTTATACAAAATGGTTATGAGTTGCTTTCAGCTTTTGTTTATGGTTTGTTTGAGGGGTTAGAAACAGTATAAGAAGAGGGAATCATTAGTGTAGAATTTGGGGGCAGGCGGTTTAACACCAAAGTAAAAATTTTAAACAGAGCAGATTACTACAATGATAACTAAATTGTTTCAAGTATTTGTCAAAATTATAAAAAAATCATACATGATTGTCAAGTGTAAGTGCATACACACACACAAATATACTAGCAAAATTTTATTGTATGAACTTTTTTCTGTTAAGTCACAATTTAGCTATCAGCAGTTCAGTCTTCCCCAAACTGTTTTTGTCACTATGATTGTTCTGAAACTCCTTGATGGAAAGTTTCAAAGGGTTTTCATATGTTATCAAGTTGCTCATATGATATTTCTGCATTCATATATATTTGTACCTGCTATTACTAAAATAGTCACAAGAAATGTGTTTAATTTATTTAAAGTGTCACAAAAGGATAATTACAGAAAATGATAGATTTGCAGCTTTAGTTGTAAATAGCAAATACTGAGGCAGTAATATACGCACTCTCCTCTGACATAGAAGAAATACAAGAATTTTTTGTTATTGATCTCGGTGGTTTCTATAAAATCAAGTATTTGATGGATGAATAAGAGTAAAGACTTTATCTAACAAAGAATGGCCAACAAAGCATAAGGAAAAGAGAATGTTGCTATTAGGCCAGAATTAAGAAAATCTGGTAGTATTTGAAATGGTAAAAGGAAGAATACAAATTTTAGATCATAATAATAGTTAGAAAATAATTATTCAATGAATTATCTTGGAAATTTTCTTATCAGATATAGAAGATTAAAGTTTCCAGTACCATGGATGATAACTGTTCTCTCTTAGAACCCTATTCAGCCTGATAGAATTTCAGAGTTGAAAGGATTCTAGGTCAGACTGAGCAATCTCCCTCCCATTATAAGAAGATCCTACAGAAGGTTTTTTAAACTTGGTCAACTGTAGTAGATTAAAAATGGCCACAGGCTCTATGCAACCACTCCAATCAAGAGGTTGGATCAATTTCCCACCTCTTCTAACCCGGGCTTGTGATGTTCCTTGACCAATAGAATACCCTGGAAATGAGTTCCAAGCCCAACCAGCTTCCACCCTCACGCTCTTGGAATGCTAAGGCCCAAGATCCGTGGCCGGCAAGCCGTGGCTCGCGAGCCACATGTGGCTCTTTGGTCCCTTGAGTGTGGCCACGAAGTTTCAATCTCACTGTACGTGCACACCTGCACGTGGTATTTTGTGGAAGAGCCACACTCAAGGGGCCGCAGTTTGCCGACCACTGCCCAAGATGATAGAGACACCTCACTGCCCTAGCCATAGAGCTGATGTCCCAGAAATAGGAGACCGTCTCAGACTGTCCAGCTAATACACCGAATTATGAAAAATAATGAATCACTGTTGTTTTAAACTACTACCTTTGAGATGATTCATTACACAGCAAAAGCTAATTGAAGCATCATCCATTTTGTGCTATTTTTGCTTTATTCATTCATACATGAAATATTTATTGGCTACTTACTCTGCACCACGCACTCACTGTTCAAGACTTGAGAAAAATCAGACGCAAATGTGCATGAGCATTTTCAGTAAAGGAAACTTACTTCTTAGGGAACTAGCGCATTCCATGTCTATAGTATTATAGCTTATTATAGAGTGCTGAACTGACACCTCATCAGGTGCACATAGAACAGGTTAGTTGTCCTTGTAACATGTAAACTTCCTGAAAGAGTTAAGGCATAGGATGAGTATACTCAAGTCTACATATTGAAGGGTATAGACCCAAGAGTGGGTTCAGCAACCACAGGAGAAAGATGAGAGGCAAACTCCTGACAAATTTGTTACAAAGCTGTGCACACAGCTTTTTTGCCTGCTGAAAATGACTTGCACGTGTGAAAGAGCATCACTGAATTATATTTGATTTTTGTATTCAAAAAAGATGGAAGCATCATTTTAGCACCCTCCAGGGAAAATTAGCAACTGGCTACGTCATTGTCCCTACCATTTCACTGGCATTTAGATGTCATGAAATGTACCTTTTTGTGAAATGCAGTTCATGGTTCTGGTTAACATCTTGACTTATTCTAAGCTTATTCTGTAATATAAATATAAATATAAAATCAACATCTTCAGCTGTGCTAGTTATGCATTGACAATTATTGTTGGACCTAAAATTAAAAATTTGTTTCGAACAGAAATCACGTATTGGGTAAGTGAAAGTCATCATTGAAATTGAAGCTAATCTTTCTCCTTTAACCTGCCTTGGTCCTCGGCATTAATACTGCATTTCCGTAGGCTAGTTCAATATGCATCATTTCTCTGATGAAATTTATTTTGATCTAGCAGAAAAGCTATTTTCGATCTAGCAGAAAATTAATTTTGGTCTAGCGGTACAAATCCAAGCAAAGAAATTCTTAGACTATCTTAGACAAATAAAAAATCTGTCCTCATGAGAAAAAAGAACCACAGAAAAGAGTTCACAAAATTATCTTAATGGTTTATGTATAAATTTTGTTATTTAGATCATCAGTGGAAGCCAGGTGGTTACTATCTTTAGAATAAGCATTATTAATTTATTCAGCTAAAATTTATTAAGCACCTAGGCTATGGTAATAAAGAGTAAATAAAATACTCTTCCAGACATTAAGGAACATATAGTTGAGTTTAAATAAGAATATATAGGTATATATACATATATGTGTGCATATATATTCATTTATATATGTTGTAGATATATGTATGTATATATGTATTGTATGAATATATATATACATATATATATCATGTGTGTACAATAAACAGACAGACATAGACATATTCCAACAGGATTTGGGTAATTCTTCCTAAGATGATTTAATACTTAATC